GGTTAGCCCTTTAATTGTGCATTCTGGGAAAAAGAGGTTTAAATATCTCTCAGAGACTCTGTCTTAACGAATTCATTAATACATGAGTTTCTGGTTTGGACTGATTCAGTTTCCATGTTTCCGTATATTCTGCATGTTTTGTATATTAACCTCTTACCTTCTTAACCGTAAACTAACTATTGAAGCTTACTGTGAATGTTTCTTTTGGAGTGATATTCCATTGTTGATCCCTGCAGATGACTTTCCCTAAAAGTCAGGACCTACAAGGAGCCACCTCTTGCAGATCTCAAAGGACAAGCAGAGACCACTTGGAGATGCTATCCAGGAATTCAGGTCCAGAGCTGTGAAGGGCTTTACAGGTCAAAACCAGCTCCTTGAATTGCATCCATAAACAAACTGGCAACCAGTGCAGCATAATGCCCATAAATGGTCGATCTACTGCTTTCTGGACCAGCTGCAGTTTCTGAGTGGTCTTCAAGGGCAGTCCCGTGCAAAGCACATTACAGTAATCCAGTTGGGAGGTAACCAAGGCATGAATGGCTGTAATGGTGAGCACAGCCTCCTGATCCAGGAAATAAATCTGTGCAAAGGCTGTCCTAGCCCCAGCTGCCACAGCTGAAGAGTACTTCAAGCAGCAGCTGTAAGTCCAGGATGATCCCCAAATTATGAACCACTCTGAATGGGGCAACATGACTCCATTTGTAGCCAAAAACAAAAGATCCCTGGAACTGGAGGCCTTCTGCACCCAAAGCCACATTATCCAATTGGGATTGAGTCTAAGCCTTTTCATTCTCGTCCAGACCCTCACATCCTCCAGACATCAGGACAGAAACTAAAGCACATCTTCTGTATAGCTTAAAGTTGAGATCTGTCCTCATGCATATTAGAGATTTTTTGATTTTCCAGTCCCCTTCTTGGTGAAAAAGCAGATCTTTTCACAGATCCTGAAGCTTACAATTTTTATCAGTCTGGGAACCAACTCTTATGAGTAGAGTTGGCCCCTGAAGATATTCTCCTGCTACAAACATTTTTGTTATTCTCTACTTGTGTTTGTAAGGACTTTTAGTAGTCTTTCCATCTTCTTTTAACTAATTTTCTTCTATAGATTGCTTCCATGATTACTCTTGAGTAGCCCTACTTTACTTTTAATGTTCCTGTAATTTCTCTGATCTCCTTAAAAACAAGCCCATATTTCTTTTCCTGATATTTTTCTTTATTTGCTAACATTCTGGATTAAGATATCTTTCCTTGTTCTTTCTTGCTTCACATTGAGAGTCTACATTCATTCATCATACGTTCTTCTGGTTGCCTAAGGCTTTTATCCTCAGTTTTTCTCTCATTATCATGATAGCTTATTCTGAAAGCTACTTGAATCTTTTCATCTTTGAAATTCCCAGCAGTTCAAATTTGGGGAATACTTTCGGCTTTCATGATGTCTCTTATTTTTTGCCATAGCTTGTCAAGCTCGCTTTTGCATAAAATCGGTGTACTGAACCTGTTCCTTACACTGATTTTATATTCTGACTGAATGTCCTCCATATCAAATATTTCTGGTATACCTATTCTCTTTAATTTTCTAATTTTTCAGTAATTCATGGTCAGAATCAGCATCTGGAAGTGTCCTGGCTGACTGGATTGCCATTCCCTATTTTCCCTTTCTCATTATGCACATTGTTTTATTCCAATGTTGTCCACTAAATCAATGTCCATATATAGGGTCTGTATTTATATTGCTTATAACTTGGTGATAAACAAATAATTTTCTTCATAAAACTCTGTTAATCTATCTCCTACATTATGTCTTTACCCAACCCAATTTTTCCTATAATTCCAGGTCCCTCTGTTTCTCCAACTTTTACTTTCTGACCACTCAGGATTAGTACTACATCCTTCCAGATGTTCAATTTAGCATCTCTTTCAATTTGCCACAAAATTTTTCATTGTTTCCACCATAAACCTGAAGCTGAAAAGAATAGTTTAACTCACTCCTTTATACTATCTTCTGTTTTATACTGTTTGCACACATTTTCTCTGCAGTACTTATGTAAGAGGAGAAAGACATGTCAAGGTAAGCCATCACATTTCTTTCTCCCTGTGGATTGTAAGTATCCCCGATAAATAAGGGAATATTGTAGCCTTTATATAAGGAGTTACCAAATCTTTAGCACAAAAACAGTTCAGAGTCACTTTGTGTGAGATGGGTGGCTATATAAATGCGATGTATAAATAAATAAATTAAATAAATAAATAAATAAAACTGCGTGCATTGCAGAACTAAGGCCAAGCCATACCATAGGGTTGAAATGCAAAACCCACCTTACTTCCATGTAAATAAATAACTCAGTTATGGGTTTATTTGGGTCTTGTCTTTTCTACTGCTTTCTACTCTCTTCCACTCAAGGGCATAAATGACTACCATGTTTCAGGGAGCAGAGAGAGAAGTACTAGAATTTAGGAGATTTAGCAAACTTTAATTTTCAGGAAAAAGCCAATGATGCTGGTAATGCTGTGTAGACAGAAGGCATTTATTTATGACTTTCTTTACATGATTTATGGCCACACCAATCATAGACTCTGGCCTGCTTACCATAAAAAAGAATCCTCAAGAGTCTTAAAGAAATAGGAAAGGCATGCTTCGAATTAAATCTTGATCCAGAAAGTGCTTTAGTGTTCCATAGAAGAAGGTATTCCAACCATTCCTTCTCCCACCAGCGCCATTCTGAACTGCCTCAACCAGGAAAAATCTTGAATGTTTTGCTAGGTCATGAGCTATAATTGCAAAATTGGGCAGAGTGGAGTGCAGTGAGAGAAATGCAACACACCCTCTGCACAAACTTAGAGAATCAACATGCGTTCCTTCCAGTGGGATATAGAGAAAGACATGTGGATCAACCGCCAAGGCGACTCCTCATTTGGACTGCAGGTGTGGCCAATTTTTTTTTCTTTTGTGGGTTTTTTGGATCAATTACTGCTTTCATAGCACAGTCCTCATGTATCATTCTCAGATGTATCAGTGGCATTCATTGACACAGGCACATAGATCCCCCAAACCCCATCTTTTTCTTTCAGAGCTGTAAAAAAGGTCAGAAATGCTTCCCCCCGCCCTTTGTTTTCTTTTTGGAATCATTCATCCTTCCACCCAAAGGGTGACTTGTGCAGTTAATGGAATTGTGGGGGTAGAAGGGACCTCTTTGTGTCCATGAGGATCACAGTATATAATAGGAGATTTTGTTTCAGCAAAGCAAAGAAGATGTTGCTTTGCTTTAGCAAAGTTGGCTCTGCATAGTCAGCATTTCTTGACACTTCTCCCATTCTACGTCTACCATTTTTATTGAGGGCACATTGTCATCACAGACGTCTTCTGAACATAGGCTGCACCAGTACTTTCCTTCCATTCAATGTAATTGCCACTGCATTTTTTAAAAAAGGACTTTTATGTTGTTATCTAGCAAAATACCTCAGAATCACTTGAATCTGATGTGCTGGTGTTTGGTAGCCCTTTTATCATGAGCAACGAATTTCATCTGGGCAAAAGAAAGAGCTTGGATCTTATGAACCCATCAGAAACAAGTGGGAAAATGCCAAAAACTCAGTTCCCAAATCGTATGGAGACGTTTATTATAAACTACAACAATCAATTGATTTAACAGACAGATGTGAAACAGAACTAAAATGTTAAACCAGGTAGAACTTTTTTAAAAATATAACTATTATATTGGATGTTCTCTACTGGATACCAGTTCAGCATAGGAGTGTGCTGTTCCATTCTGGTCCACTTCCTTATCTACTTTAATGGGCCTGATTTTTGTGCTCGTATGCCACCCAGAATCCTTCAGGATTAGAGTTATAAATATGGCAGAGAAACAAATACGCTATTCTGGTGGGTTTTTAATGGCTTTTAAAAATAAAATGCACAGAAAATTGTGTACGTTGTTAATTGACATTGTGCAAAAATTTGGCTGTTTAAGTATCAATTATGTTTCCTCCATTCTTCAGTATAGAGAGTTTCCTCTTGCAGGTTTCTTTAATGCCCATTTTCCCAGCATAAGTTCTTTTCTCAAACCAACAAACCAACAACAAACAAATCCTACCCCTGTTTGCATATAACTTCTTTTCAGACACCTTTGTTGTTGCAGATGTTTGAAAAAGATGAATGCCATGCAGAAACTCTGAGAAAAATCTGTAGAATTCCCAATACCGCTCTCAGTGAACCTCTATTTTCAATACAAGTTTTTGATATATAACACTCCTCGTGGCACCTGTGTTTATGAGTATTTTATGCCTTAACCCATATGATAATGTTATTATTCTCTTGAGAGGTACTGTCAATGGAGATAGACTCTCTGAAGATGGAATGAAAATCATCATACTTCTGACCATTTATTTTGATCATGTTTCTTATGGTCATCTTTTATGAGTTGAAATGGTATAAAGTAACTAGCGGTGTCCAATAACAGCCCTAGAATTCTTGGATGCCAGCCCTGCTGAATTTAAACTTCTTACCACGTTATTGCCAACCACTGGAAATTAAGTTTGCATAGATAACCGACAATCTCCTCATCCTCTGAATCTGTTTTAAATTACCCTAGTTATGTGATCAAAAGACAAGGAGTAGGGCTAAATAATTTTCATTTAAATATGTGGAGAAAAGCCCTTAGCTCTCTTGCCTTGACCATAATTTTTAAGGTACACCGTTATGACATTCCACCCTGACATTTTGCAAGTAAATAAAAAAAACTTTTGCAAGTTTCTTAGCTTGAGTGCATCGAAGTAACTTTTTCCCTTTGCTTCCTTTTGTCCCCCCACCTTACTTTCTTTTCTTTTTTTTTGAACCTAGAAACATATTCCAGAGGCAAATGTTTCTTCAGCCTTTCAATATCAATTAATTTTTAACTTTTTAAAAAATGCATTTCCAGTCTCAAGTATGTCCTTCCAGCAGACGTTAGCTTGGAAAAGCAGCTGTGTAGGAGCTGATAAAACCTAAACACTGGGGAGGTTAAGCAGCCCAGAGGCTAAGCATTAAACAAGTTCTTCTACAGCAGGTCGGTTCTGTTCTTGATCAGCAGGAATGTTCATTTGCTTAATTCCTATTTTGATGTCCCTGTGCTTGAAGTTGCTCTGGAAAGCTTTGAATGGCTAGCCATTCTCCATGGATCTGTAGGAAGAGTGATTTTAAAATAATTAATATTCAGGTCCTGATATTTTTTTTCTCCTTCCAAAGCGTAATGCACTAAAAGTGGATCCAGAACCGGGGGATGGAGAGACCTTTTCGCCTTTCAAGCTGTTAATATATTAGCAAATGAAGAAGTCAAAGTGCGTCAAGTCAAAGTTTGCGAGGAATACCCGGCAGAACCATGGCCACAGGTGAATGTCTGTTTGGTAGTGCATTTATTTTTATTTTTTTTAATTGCATGATTCCTGTGCTGTCCCAGTCCTAAAATGTTGGGTCTTACAAATCAATTGCATTGTGTCACTCGGAGGTCAGGACTGGAGGTCAATATTTCTGTTTCTTGCCCAGAACGTGGGATACAGCAGGTTGATTTGATTTCCCTCCTGTCCAATTTTCTATGTCCTGCCTAGCTCAAATTCATCCTTAACCCCAGAGGAATACTGTGTGATGTTGCTCCAGCAAAACCAATATTGAGTCGTGTGGCAGCTGAAAAGAAAAGCATATATTTTGGCATAAGCATTCAGGGCATGTGATCTGCTGAAGGGGCCCATAGTAAGAGACGTAAGAAAGAGGTGAACCTTTCAAGTGCCCCCAAATTCCTTGCCATTCTAAATTCATTATTCTTGCAAACCTATCAGTGTCCTTGGGAATTTGTTTCCATAGGAACCTTTGCCCCTTATTGGATTAGGTCTCAACAGACACTGTATATTGGATTTTTGCTTTGTGGCTGCTGCGCTGTACTTTTGCCCATAGATGGTGGGAACAAGGAGGGGAAAAAAAAATGATCTGAGATAATTGTACTGCAACAATAGAAGAGATTTCTCTAGTTTGCCATTGACCCACCTGGCAATTCTCCTTATAAGAATATGCTTCTTTTCCATCAGCAGCTGATGGCTTGGGAAACATAGCTATAGATACAACGCAATTTAACATGTCAGTCACTGATCCAGCAGCCTGGGCAACTGCTATGAATAACCTAGGAATGGTACCGGTGGGATTAACTGGACAACAGCTTGTGACAGGTAAGGGTTTTGCGAAGATTTGTTCCACTGGTTTATGGATTTTTCTAGAGTCCTCAGATAAATGTCGAATGTTTGCTTTCAGAAGTTGTGTGCTGGGTGTGAGCGTCTTTCGTATACATTCAGGGCTATTTTTTTCTAAAGACAGAGATTCCCTTTTATTAATACTGTGCCCTACACATTATTAATGCTGTGCACAACACATTAATCTCTTGGCATTAACAGGCGTCTAATCTATAGTATATCTTCCAGGTTAGTAAAAATAGCCAAAATTCCCTAGGGAAATTTGAGTTTTTAAAGCCACTAAATGATTTCTAAAACCCAGTGCCGGGCTGAATCTGAAAAGAAAGTTCCATAAGAAATATTTACTGTTTTTTTCCTAGGGAAAAAAAAAGCTATTTTTACCAAAGCATTTGTTAACATTCTGCCAAGGAGTAGCATAGGAAATTAGCTAAAACCTTCTACTATGGCAGGGAAAAAACAGTGTTAGGCTAACTAAAAGAAATGCAGCTATAAATAGATACTTGAAATAAAGGAATCTAAAATAGCTCATTTTGCAACATGATCAGGTCACTGCACGTAAGAAATCTCATCTCTTCTGTTTTTCCCTGTGATCGTCACTTGACATCGAAATGTTCGGGTTTAGCATACACGTGCAAGGATTTGGTATTATGCATATTCTCTTTTCAGTGTAACTGCTTTCAGAAGTCAGGTTAATCTTTGCTTTATGCGACATCTATGCATGTATTTATTTATATTTATGTCCTGTCTTTCATTCAGGATCCCAAGGTGGTGTACACAATGTTTCCTCCTCCTCTTTTTCACAAAGACAATAACTAGGTGAGGTTGGTTGGCCTGAGAAAGAATAATGGCCCAAAGGCATCCAGTGAGCTTCCATGGTTGAGAGGGGCCTAGAACCTGGGTTTCTCCACTCATAGTCCAACATCTTAACCACTATACCACACTGAATAAGCAACATATTGGTGTGTAGCAAGCTCTTTCTTCCACTTCAGTTTTCCATATGTGTCATTTGGTAAGCAGAATCTGAAAGAGGAATCTTGAACCTGGGATGATGTGTATCCAACCACCTGGGGTTCTTATCTTGACTTATCTAAGAGGACTTAATCATAATTCTAAGTTGTGCCCTGGTTTATCTATCTTCTCACACCTGAAGAAGGAACTCAGCTGACTGCTCGCATTAACACGTTTTAAGATCAGGATTCCTGGGTTAATATGACTACTAAATATAATCTTTATGTTCAGTGTAATAAATATTAATAGATTCCTCATGTATCTGGACTGTTCTGTAGAGCAGGAACTAAAAGAATTCATATACTATGTACTACTATCAGTGCTTAATGAATGTTCTGTTTCTTTAATATCGCTAAACAGTACTAAAAGAAGATCAGTTTAGTATTACATACATTAAGCAAAAGCCTTGTGAAATTTGAACTCTAAATTCTCTCCTCCCTTCCCCTTGCATCCAGAGGAGAAATAAATAAGAATTTGGTTTTATTTCAGCAAGTTTCTTGCTTGTTATTTTATATGGTCCAAGAACCATCATTTAAAATTGACTCTAGTCAGTTTAGGAATAAGCTAACAGTAAACACAGAACTGCTAGCTTATTTAAAAAGCTAGAATTTATCTTCAGTCACAGTTCCTTCTTTGCAAGTAATGACAGAGCAAATGAAACTGGATTTTAACTTATTCCTTTTATGGGATGTGTGAGAAGAGGGCAGCCCTTGAGCAGGGGGAGCACAGGAGCTTAATGCCCCATAATTTGGTACTTTCTGCACTGAATTAGGATGCTGAGCTTCCTTTTGCCATCTAGCAGGTGGAGACATCTCCAAGCAAATCAGTCAGCTAGAACTGATCTCCACTGCAGTCCTCCAACAATCTTTATAGGGTCCAGGTAGAAATCAGAGACATTCTTGGGGGGAAAAAACCACACACCATTGGAGGTCATAGCTTTGCATTGTCTGCTTCCTGTTTAAATATATAATACATCCGTTTACTAAAATAAAATAAAATAAAATAAA